GGAGACAGAAGCAGACATAGAAAAAGAAGCATAGATACAAAAGGAAACTGTAAAAGGCGGCCCCATCCAGAAATATATATATAGATCTCCAATATAAAGATCAGAGCATTCCTCAGTGCATTGAATTACATACACCACCAATCCGCTCACTTTTTGGAATGAATATGACCTTGATGACTGAGAATCTCCACCAGCAAATGAAGAGTCAACCAGTCAACCCATGAGAGGGTTTTATCTCCAAGGCTGGTTTCAGGAATCGGGTCAGCAGTTATCTGGCCTTCAGAACTCAGAACCTCCCCGTTACCTCGGCAACACCTTAAAAATCACTAATCAGAATAGTTTCTGGAAGAAAGGAGGTTCAATTCCGGACAACTGGCTGCTGACTCAGTCATGTGACTCTTGAGGCACAAAATAATGGCTGCTTCCTGCCAGGCAGCGAGGGTTTGTTGGGTATTATCACGCGAGCGGGGCTGCTTAGCGGCAGGGTCACCGGACTAATGAACCTGGAAATCTGAAGCTGTTCTTCTCACCTTCATGGACCCAAACCGGCCTCTGGTTAACAGGGAGCCCAGCAGACATCAGTCCCTTGGTTCTGATTAATGCCAGCTCTGCTTTTAGCCACAGAAATCAGTTTCTCCAGGTCCTCAACTGACAACCAGTCCTGCATCCTTTAGATGGTTCAATACTTTATCCCAAAGAATGGATTCCATCACGTATGAACGACAGGTTTCAACTCACTAATGTTGTGTTGAGAAAATGCATAAAACAGGGTTAAAGCTCAGTAAAAATCCAAATATGGTGAACAGCTCAAAGCATAATCATCAAAAAGGCAGTTTCAAGCTTATTGTCGTTATAAAACTCCTGGATTATGAGTTTTATACTGATCCAGTCAGTGAGACAGAGAACAGGCACCAGGGGAGGGATGCTTCAGAGTGCAGAGCGCTGCTAATTTCATATGAAATTATCTCAAGATATCATCAGAAATGTTGACACTGAATTAGTATAATGTGGCTGTGAGTCCAAATCCCATAGATATTAATAAACTGCAAAAAAAAAAAAAACACTGATCAAATTCAGTAAAAAAAGATGAGACATTTAGCTGTAATGTTAATCTTTTAGATTGTCACCTTAGGGAAACATGACGATGATTGTGGTTGGTTAGTTTCTTCCTGTATTCTAAAAAAAAAGTTAAATTCAATCCTCTGGACTTTGTCTCCAAGTCTGAAGACGTTTCTCTTCCATCCAGGAAGATTTTTCAATCCAAAATGTCAGAAATAGCGTTTAGTTCCAGGTTTTATCCAGCAGCCCAACAAAGCCTGGTTTTAGTTTAGAAAACATGCAAATAGAAACGGATGAACGGGTCCCCCCCGTTGGAATGGGGGTCGTTTGGCTTCTTTGTTAACGGCTCGTTATCATCGCAGTGAGCTTGGTAGCGTGGTCTGCGCTATGTTATTCCACCGCACAACGCCAGAGGGCCAATCAGGAACTAGCTGTGGGTCTAGATACGGCCGAGGCGGTGAGGAAGTGGGGGCAAG